TTCTGGTGTAATTGTGCACGATCCATTTGACATATTGTTTGTACTTATTCGATGACGACCATAAATTGTGAGCTCAACTCAGTGAAAGTCAAATTTTTATGGTCTTGTCTCAAATTGTAATAATTCTTATCATTAAAGGTTCGGAAATACCCACTCTGTTGCTTATTGCTTGCACTATTATGCCCAATAAAGGGTATAGCTGATTTTAAGTATGAGTTCGGCTTTATTTTACAAAATTTCCAGTTGTTGAGGCAGTTTCTTGTGAGAGAATTATGTCGCCACTGTTGGTGCACGAAATAATGGCGATATGCCTTCTACCATGTTTGCTGAATGCTACATGTGTTACATGAATATGTCAGCTCTCTCGCTTATGAACGCATTTATGCTGAATAATAAGAATTAATCTTCAGTTGAGGACTAGTGAAATGCTCATCACGATCAAATACATTATTCACATGATTTGGTACGATTGAGTGGGATCTGAAAACTGAAATGTTCATTGTGTTAATGAGTGGAAACATTGGAGATTTTAAATATGAACCAAAGTGTTAAACGTCAACAAAGTGTTAAATTAATGAAAAGTTTTATACGATGTACAATCAATTGAGTGTTATTCTTCGTCGTTTCACGAAGATAGCCCGAAAAAAAGCACAGGAAAATGAATCATTAGAAAAGGAAACGATAAAACACCTAAAAATCAAGGCCATATCATTGAATATGTACACAACGCTACTAGTGCAATGTTACAGTGTTGCACATTCAGAATATTGGACTATTCGTCTTTTCGTGATTACCACTGAAGCCCTCTTCGTACATTCGTTCTGATCGCTCCAAACCAGCTTCATCCATTTTCGCAGCTAAAAATTCTCACTTCATTGATTTCACTTTGGTGGCTGACATTCAATTTTTCAGTTTGAACAATTACGGTGTGAAGTGATCACTTGGAAATAATTGTTTATTCGGAGATCCGTCATCATTTGAACGGATGNTATTGATCAACACATTTCGTAGTGCATGATTTAAACACATCAATCCATTCATCGAATGTTTCATGTGCAAATGAACTATCAACGGAATTTGATCACCGATAACTGTGCAGCTGATGACGAGCTTAAACTAAGAATATTCTTTCCAAACGGTTCTGACACTTCAACACTGAGAAATCTGAACTTTTCTAGTGTTGAGCAGAAACACTTCAGCGCCTCAAAACTGAGTATGAATTTTCGTGAAAAGATTAATTTTAAAAAGAATTCAGAGTTGTCACAAGGTCGTTATTGGGTGGAGCATGCCCACAGTACATATGTCGTTTTAATTTTGAAGATTCCGACATGACTCATAGAACATGTACTGATTTAAGTGATCATTCAAAAATTAAGCCAAACAATGCACAGTCATGTTTTCGAAGTGTAAAATTGATTAATCTTGTTTTTCAGTTTGTTGCCGAAATGAATATTTTAAAAATGATAGCACATTGTGATTCGTCAGTCGTCTTCATCGATATTTGTTTAGTGAACTGAAACGAACAGTGAATATCGGAATGTGACGAATATTACCTCGTTTTCTCTTGAAGAGTTTAATTTTCTCGTCAATTCTCATTGGTTTTTGTTCCATTTTTTCGTGCACCTCTGAAAAATGCCGCTGTGAAATGACGTCAATCAAACACTGAAAGTATCGAAAGTGGACAGTTTCGATGTGGTGATTAATTACGCAAAAAATTGGAATTGTCACAGAAATGTTGCTTATTGACAGATAATCGAAATTGACAAAATGGAACTGATACCGCAGATATACAGTTTAAAATTCACCAAGATCATTTCTGTTCAAGCCATAGATATGAATCGAAGGAAATTCGAAAATTATTTGGAGAATGTCAAAGTTAAACTTACTACAATCTTTCACGAATTCATTCATTTCCTCAATGTATTGTTTCATCTTTTGTTTCTGAAAAAAATCATGCATTGTTCCATCAAATTTCGTGATGTCACTGCAAAGTCACGCTTTCAAAATCATACTCAAAACATTGTACATACGGGAATGGGTATTGTTTCGCTCGATAAAAATCATCACCTCTCTATAGGCAATGCGTTCTGATAATGTTGAATACGGTCGTGTCAAAGAAGCACATGCAGAGATTGGTACTCGCATGTGACTCACGATTT